AAATAATTATTGAATAAGAAGCACAACACTATTGAACGAAAATTTCGTTCAATAGTGGTGTGCTTCTTATCGAATAAATATTTTTTCTGTTCTGTCTTTCTGCAGAGTGCGTAAAAATGTTTTTCCAGGAATTAAAACTTTAATTTCAAACAGCATACATAACTAATTTTATACCAAATTAAAGTGCATCGAAAATGAAGTTTTTTCATTCTAAATTGTAAGAGTTATCAAAACTTTTTTTATTTTTTATTTTATCTTAGAAAACTAACTTAAAAATTTTTAATATGTACAGTTTTGTAGAGCTCGACAAGATCTACCGATCCATGTAAAAATATCAAAAGAAAATACTAAAATTCATTTTTGAATCACCGACGTCTTAGTCCTCTATTCCAAAAAAAATGTAAAATTTCTTAAGTTCGACATCAAAAAGTTTTGATAACTCTTACAATTTAGAATGAAAAAACTTCATTTTCGATGCACTTTAATTTGGTATAAAATTAGTTATGTATGCTGTTTGAAATTAAAGTTTTAATCCCTGGAAAAACATTTTTATGCATTCTGTATATATATATCTTGATGGTGTGTTTATTCTGCACATGTACCCAATTTTAAATAGATTCTTGTCTAAAATAATTTCAATCAGTGTATTGTACTTTCATATTTGTATATATTTTTTCTAGATACTTTATTAGATTAATTTTTCTTCAATATACATACTTTTACTACTTGACAATTTCAAAACGTATAATCGAAGTAAGAGAATTCTAAATTGATTCTAAGTACTAATGTTTGACTTAATTACTATCATTTTTGAAGCATTTGATGGAAATCATTGCTATTCATCGAGAAAATTCGTACAAGTTTCTTGAAGATATTTCATCTCGTGCAGTTGCTCTTTTTACAAATCCTTCTTTTATCAAGGATATTGGTGGTAGAATATGTGCACGTGTCTTTGGCGAACACAAAACAGTTGATAAAGAAATTGAAGAATTTGCTAATTCTACAATGATGAACTTACGTACTCGTCTTATAATCAATGGTCTTGTGTCTTTTGATTCTTGTATGGAGTCAAATGTTGAACTTGATCCACGTGAAATTCATATCAATGGTGAGGTAAGCGTTTTTTCTTTTAATTCGTTGATTTTGATGTTGAATGCCTCTGCATTGACAAGACTAAAGTTTTTTAATATGTTCGAGTAATATAAACTTCTTAAAGAAGTTTTCTAAGGTGATTTTCGTAAATAACTTCGTAAATTTTTTTTCTGAAAAACAAATTTCATGTTTTATACTGTTGCTTTCAAGATAATGATAAGCGCGTATAGCTATTTCTCAGATTATATAGTCATGCAGTTACTGTTTAATGGAACACGACCTAAAACATGTCTTAAGACATATATATTAAAAAGCTTAGATCGACTGCCCTTGTTATCTCTCTAAACCTTATGAAAAGCAGTCTGGACCTGGAACATCATTAAAGACAGTAAAAGGCAAAGAGTCTTTCACGTTTTTCACTACACACTACAGTTGAATTTATTGTTATATGATCAAAGACTAAATAGCAGTAAAATTCTATCAGCATACATGAGACAGTTTTCTTCTTGCACTTGTAGAGAAAGAAGAAAATGAGAAAGCAATTTGTCCTAAAATAAATCGAATAAAACATTTTTTACGCAAAGACTAACAACAGTTACACTGTGTGGAAATTTTATTCTCTTAAGACTGAGAGTATTGACTTTTCTAATATGATCAAAACAGCGCTTATTCGGCAAGAAGTTTGTGGCCATATTACGTTGTTTTTCGATTATACGTTAAAATCTGTGAAAGCAATCATAAATCAATCCAAATTCCTGAAGGCACAGATGTGCACATATCAGTACTTAAGAACCAACGACTTTTAGAGATATGGAAAATGTTGAAAGAAAGCTGTGTAGAAAAGATATTTCATGAATGATATATGTATAGTGTAGTTCTCAGAAAATCGTGGTCCTAATCATAACCGCTGAAACTACGGAAAAGAGTTTAATTAAATGAATGATTAGTACAAGTTATTACATTTGATTCCGATGGTATTTGTAATTATAATTTCATGAATTCTAATCAGCATACTTAATCATTTTCTGGCCTTATCCAAGTACTAGTGCAAAATGTTTGGGTTTGTCACTGGCGACAGTTCGAGTTCAAAGAAATGATCGATAAAAAGTTTTAAAAATCTCAATAACTACATGAAATTAATTATTTGAAGTTATTTCAATTGCTTTTTATTGACTCAGGTATAATGTGATCGTAAGATAATAAACAAAGCACATAGAATTATTTGAAACAAGGTTCTTCTATCATATGTAACGAGAAAACTAATGCCTATTCGATATGTTTTTAATGAAAGTGACTGTGTGTATCTCAATTTAGCAATACCAACTAACTAATAAATATGAAGTTATATTGTAATCAGACATATACTTCATGAGTAATATAAATAATCTTTCCCATATTAATAACTTCATTCTTTCTTTATTGAATTGAAATAGAGTACGAATAAAAAAAATGAAGATGTGAGAACATAGAAAGAACTACTCGCATTCTATGCTCAAGACTAATTCATCTGTTGATTCTAGTTCGAAAGATGATATTAGTTTGTAAGAATTTTCTTCAATCATCA